TGACATGAAGACGACTCACTGTTCCTCCACACCCCTGAGCCAGTTGTTCTTACGATCACCCTGCTCATCCTGACTCCAGTGTCCAGGGAATCTTGAAAATCATTGAGGGCCATGGTAGTCTACGCATCTTAAATGACTGTGAGGGGCAGTAAGCTTCCTCTGCTTTGCTTTCTATTGGCTAAGGCCTGCTGCTTATTCTGTGTGAATGGGGGGAACGGCTACAGGTACAGCAGTGTAGGATTACCCATCGCTGTATATTCTGAGGCTTCTTTCCTGCCACTACTAGTACATTGCTGGGAATGCAATTACCATGGAGATCTTTCAAAAATCTAAAAGGCTATACAACTAATATTAACCCGTGTTGTCTCTGGGTGGTTAGACTTATAGGTGGTCATTTTTTAATTTGGTCACTATATCTATATGTTCTCACTTTTGCAATTAATAAAAAAAAATAACAAAAAAATCTTAATTTTGAAATAAATAAGCCACCCTTTAATTTTTTATGAGACAAACAACCAAATGACTTGAAAACTCTCTAACATGGAAATTTCTCAAGAGAAAAATTTGAAATTTACAGGCATGTCATTCACTCTAAAAATATATCATATGAAAATATCATATCATATGAAAAATATTTGTAAGAACTGTTATGAAAGCAGTTTTAATGTCAAATTAACTAGAATTAAATGAATATACTTAAATAAGAAGAACTGCACTGTATCTGCTTTTCCAAATTTTATGCTAATAGTGTGGCAATGTAATGAAAAAGCAAGTAAGAAATCAGAACCTAGCTACTGGAAAAAAAAAAAAGCAGCAAGAGGGAGCCTGAGGGTATAACATATTCTGAAGCTGGACTATAGAAGCTGGTCCCAGATGGGAAAACTTGTTCTCTAATCTTATGACTTTCTTTTAATCACAAGCAGACAGTAGTTTCCTTATTACCCAGAGTTTTAGAAATACATTATTCTTGAGAGTACTTCCTAGGATTTCTTTTACTCATTTAAGACCACATCTTTGCATTTAATTCTTCCTCATATTATCCCTGCAGGGCACGTCCCTCTAATTATTCCCATCTAAAGTGACAGGAAAATGGAATCACACTACTTGGAAAACAGACATCCTTTGGTATGTTTTTTCTCACTGCTCCCTTGGGCATATTTTGTCATTGTGCTCACTTCAGCACAGATTATGAGCCGTCCTTGGAGGGCAAGGACTATCTTTGAATTCCCAGTGCCTAATAAATGCCTGGCACACAGTAAAAATAAGAATAAACAAATGAATAATAATACCCAGCACATAATGCTTACAATGCTTATCAAGCACTGTTCTTCATATATATTAACTTATTTATTATTTAGTCCTCACAACCCTATGAAACTATTATTATTCTCATTTTACATATGAGAAAACTGAAGCAGGAAAGTAAAGCAAGGCTACCCAGAACCAGGACCCAAACCTACACACTTTGGCTCTAGAGTCCAATCTCGTAATCACCACACCACGCTGCCTCAACAGCGGCCATGCTAACCAGGAGAATGTCCCACTCCAAGAGAAGCATGAGTACTCTGTACTTCCATCTCTAAACATTTCTGGGTTTTTGTCAGATGTAGCTACACCGTGTGGTTCCTTGGGAGACTTAAAAGGGAAAATAACTGGACACAGGCATACAAATGCAGAACCTTAACAATTGCTGTGTTTGTAAGGCTGTTTCTTAAATACCTGTGGGGATTTGTGAGAGCGCCAGCTGTACTGGTGACTATGGAGACTCGCCAGCAGAATATTTTCATCAGTATCCACCTGGCCAAACCGCAGTGTCTCCTGTGTGTCATTACAGATCACAAAATGGCTGAAGACCAACTCCTCTACCTCAGGGCATTTGTTCTGAAAGAAAAAGAATCGGAAAGCCAACATGAATCAGATTAATTGCAAGATGTTTGGCAGCTGTCTGCCCAGTGGCGATTGTTAGAACACAGAAACACTAAAAGATCTGCTGTCATTAGCTCTGGTACACAAAGTATTCTATACTTCCAGGATAAGCACAAAAAATACCTTAAAGAGATCTTAAATGTTCCAAAAATATGTTTCGATTTATGCTCCTGCAAAATAAATTATAGACACAGAAGAGTAAAAGAACAATGAGATCCCTCAAACTTTTAACATTTTAAAATGAATTAACATGCTACAAAGAGTGCGGTACTGCGCAGTGGCAGTGCACGTTTTAAGCAGAACACTGGAGGCTAGAATTACCATGTTCCTGGCCTTCTAAACTCAACAATCAAGACCAATTACAAAGCCACAGTTTGTACCCTACAGAAAGTAAGGATCTTTTAGGTAATATATTCCCAGATCCTTTAAGGGGTGGGGGCTGTGTGTGTGTGTGTGTGTAAATCTGCTCAGGGAGAGGTAAATAAAACCATAACTTTTCCTCTGTTAAGAGGTTGAACACATAAAAAAGATCAACTCCAGAATGAGGGTAATAAGGCAAGTTGTAGTTTTCAAAAGTAATGTTTCTTGAAAAACAGTTGTTGGTGTCTTTTTCGGCTAAGAGTCTTCAATCAGCTAATGGCTTCCATTAATCTGTTAAGGCTCAACAAATTAGTAATATGGCCCATTGTTGATGCCTCCTCAATGGTGTCTCCAATTGGTTGCTATTATAACAAAACACTGGCAAAATAATAGAGCATTTCTGTTCTTACTTTCTTATCACTCTAGTTAGACTACAGCCTAATATACAATATACGTACTTTTGGTAAATGAAAATAGCTAAATAAATGATCCACTTGAGAATGAAAGAAAAAAATCTTAATTAGCCAATCAATTTGTACACTATTGGAGGTAATATGTAACTGATGCTTCTCCAGTTAGCTTCTGTTTCCTGGCTGTGGATGTAAATAAAGTCACAATGCCACACTTTGTCGCTTGCCATTTTACTGAGGAGTGTGAGAGTAAAAGAGAATATATCGATCATGAGCATGAGTGATTTAAGTAATAATGGGAACTGAAGCCTAGAAGTCAATGAATGAATGCACTTGAATCCAGCCTAGACCAAAACCCTACCTAGAACCTTATCCAGAACAGTTATCTTAGGAGGTAGAACTCATTCCTAGTAACCCAGAAGGCCCCGAAAGTGGGTGGGCAGTGGTCTGTGGCTGCAGTTAGTGAAGAGGCCCCGAAATACCTCATTCTTCCAGATACCCTGGAGGACTTCTAAGCCCTCGCGCTATCATCCATCTATTCTCACTAAACTTCTTCATTCTCATGGAGCAGAACCTTGCTGGACAGTCAGACTAGTCATGAAGAGTCTGGCTAAATAAGACCAAAGCAATTTCAGTTAATGATTATCTGTTGTCTACCATAATACTCTCTGCTATGCCTTTCAGTCATGAGCTATGATTTAAAAACTTGACTGCCAGTGGGTCTTAGATGTCCTGGCCCCTGCTGTATCTTGAGGCTCTCTTCATTTTCTCACTACACCCCAGCTTTGTCAGCTCTCTTCAGATCCTCCAATATATACTGGTCCCTCTCAATTCATCCAACCTGTCAAATTCCTTCCTGCCTCAGTGCCTTTCCTCTGCTTATGCCTCTTTTCCTCTTTGCTTCACTAACTTCTTTCTAGTCAGTCTTCAGGTTCCTGTTTTCAGGCTACCTCCTCAGAGTAGCCTTCTGAGATCTTCTCCCAACCAGGACCCTCCTATTTATGCTCACAAAATACTCTATATTTCACCTTCACAGCACTTATCCCTACTGGGACTAAGTAATTATCTGTATGATTACGGGTTCAATATTGTCTCCATCATTAGATTCCATGCTGAGTAAGGGCTTTATCTCCAGTACCCAGCATAATGCCTGACACATATGTACTCAATAAATACTTGCAAAACAAATATGTAAGCTTAATTTTTTAAAATTATAAATGTAATAAATGATCACAGAAGAAAAACTAGAAAACATAGAAAGTATAGATTCTTTTTTTTTTTTTTTAAGTCTCTAATTTTACACCTGGTGATAACTGCTATTAACATTTTGGTGACTTTTCTTCCAGTAATTTTTCTCTTCAGTGTCCTGCCTGTTCCTAGTCTAGTCTATCGTATCTGATCCTACTTTCTATATCTTATACACTTAAAGGTTTGCAAACCTTTAATCAAACTGGAGTCACAGTGTATAATTAGTTTTGATGATTTTTCCATTTAGCATTTTATAATCAACACTAACTGCTCTCCTTGTAAACACTTTTCTCTCCATTAGGTCCAAAGCTCTATTAATGGCAAACATGAAGAAGGGGATATGATTCTAAACTCCCACTTAGATATTCTGAAATTGAAATTCAGTTTTCATAATGAATTGGGATCACTCTGCTGGTAACACAAAGGTTAAGTTACCAGATGGAGCTTGAATAGAGAAAAAGTCATATTACTTTCTTCATCTCTACAAACTGACCTTTAATAAATGATGAGAGTTTTAGGAAAAAATGTAAATGAAAGAACACAAGGGGGTTGTTTACATTTTTCTAAGGAATACTCAGAGTCCTCAGGGAACGGTTTCTCTACTGCTCCTTTGTCTGTGGAGTTCATTATAACTGTAATAAGTTTAAGCATTTCTTGGAATGTTTTAAATTCTGGTATATTATAAAAAAGATTGTACACATTTTATATGGCATCATATAGGCCAAAATTCAGAATGTTCACTGAGATTTGTAATTAAAAGTTGGCTTATTTACATTTGAAACTTGTGCTAGAGTGTTGTACAGGCATTTGCAATTAAACAGATATCATTTCAGTGTAAGATAAGACATATCTATAGGCATAACCTTGATTTTTAAGTAAAAATGTCCTTTCAATGCTATTTTGTCCAAATGTAAGAATATGACATAAAAATAAAAAGCAAACTGCAAGTGGCATTTTAGGTCCGTAATCTGGTTTCACAAAACATTAATCATTCACAAAAAGAAAAAAAATCTACAGCCAGAGAAATCAGACACTGATGAAGGCTTCTGTTAATCTTGAACTTGTGACCTAAGGTGAAAGGTCAAATTATTTCATGCTTCATCTGTCTGGTCCACATACACTGGATATAAATGACTTGTCTCAGATATGAATTCGATAAAAAGTATGTGGAGAACTCAAATAACTTATCCTGCTTATTAAATTCATATTTCTCATTGCCAACAATTATACTGTATACGAGCATGATACACACAATATTATCCAAGCTTGGGAAAGCAAGCTTTCCCTCTAAAGGGGACAAACCACATTCAGAATATTTTAAGCACAATGAACTTAATAACCCTTTACAAGCCCATTTCAATGTCAAATGTCCTATAATTTCAAAGTAGTACATTTTTGTATTTACTTAAGAATACATAGGGTTAGATGCCTACCGCATTAAAACTTGGTGGCAAGCACCCCTGACATGGGAGGAAACAAGAAAATTACAGCAACAATTACAGAAGTATATCCTCCTGCGGCTCATGTTAACATTGCCAAATCCCTGTATAAATCAGAACCAACTATTCATAGAATGTACCTGTCAGCAATATGCTATGTGACATATGGCTCCACTTAATCAAATATACAATTCCATTTAAAAAAAAAAAAAACTCAGAATATTCCTTCAAGGCACTATTTTAGCCAGTCATTCACACTCTGATGTGGTTTAAAACATTTAAATATTTATGCACTATATTGTATTTATATGTATAGCTGTGTCGAAGAGAATATTTTTACCCTGGGAGGAAACTGATATTTCTGAAGGCCATTTTGCAGTAGTTGCTACACATGAGTCCTCTTACAATGGCCCTGATACCAAGACGAAAATATCCTGAGTTTAAATGCTCTATCAATGACTCTTTTATATTTTCTAGGTTTGTTTTTTATTAAATGCATTGTTCAAAATATGACAAAAAACAGAAATTGGAGCCATGGAGGTTTTTTTCACATCACTATTCGAACCAGCTGCAAAGATTTAGATCACACTAGCTCTTATTTTACGCATGTCTTCTGCAACGAGAAAACCATGGAATGCCCTTAAAAAAGAATTTTAAAATATAAAACAGATGTGTTATCTTCTTTCCCTTTGCTATTGTAGTGCCATGTTAGGTAATTAATTCCTTAGTCTTGTATAGGTCTTCATGCATATAAAGAAAAGTTTATTCCCATAAAAATTCTTAAGTTAGAGAACTCGATCCCCTCCCCCCTCACTGCTCCTGTCCCTGTGTGGGGTCAGTGCAGGAGGAAGCACCGTTACTCTTGCGGAGCCAGCTCCGCCCAAATGCATGAGGGGAAATGCCTCAGCTTAAACAGCAACACAGTATTATACTGAAATACAGTATTATACTGAAAATCAGTAAGGGAAGCAGAAGTGATTTGTTCTAAATCGCTGAGCACATTATCATTCAAACATTTTGTTAAATTATTTTCTTGCTAGTAGATTCGGACAGGTTCCCTATTTTAAATATGCTATTCAGCACAGACTTATACTTCATCCCTTTTTCAATGTGACTAACTTCTGACAAGAGATAAAAGTGAAAAATTATCCATCAAGAATCTTTAACTGATTAAGAAAGTCCATTATCAAGTGCTTTTCAGGGATTCAAAATGGCAGCATGACAGTAGAAGAAAGACTAAGGCTATCTTGTGCTCACATATTTCTTCTCACTGCTTTTTTCTTCGAAAAGATGGAACGCTTATTATCAGAAAGGCTCACACAGGTTCTTCATTTCTGCAATGGATGCTTAGACGATTTGATACATAGCTAAGTTGAAGCTTTGGCAAACTAAAGCCAGAATACTTGGAAAAAATTTCTGGGAATATGTTACTTTCCACACAGATGTGGTACATTAGTCACAAAAATGTGGGCATGATCTCTGATGCATGTGTAGAGAACCCATATTCTCTAAAGTTTTTAAAAATAACATGTGTCACTTTGCCAAAACAGAGAAGGCCCCAAATATTATGGTGCCCATCAAATTCTTCATTCTCTCACATTTTGGTTTATGCTAGAAGTGATAACACAGAGTGCCTAGTGAAAAAGTCACATGTGGACAAACTTCTAGAATGAGCATACCTGTTGCCAAGCTTGTATTGCGGTGTTTAGAGAATGAACTGCGTGTTGCCCAAAGTTTACAAATATAGAATCAACTATGATGGTGCAGTCAAGTAGCTTTTCTACGGCATCGCTGGAAACCGCAATCTGCCCAAAGATGCCGAAAGGTTTCACCATGCTTTGCATTGTAACATTTCTGCACTCTAGAAGTTTACAGTCTGCTTGAGCTGAGAACTGGATCTCCTGACAGACAGAACTATTGTTCCACTGTCGAAGATACATGTGTGGTTCTTTGAAGGAAATGATCATGTATTCTAGTTCAGACGGCACATTTTTATCAGAAACAAATGGCTGTAGGTATCGCGGTGGAGCTGTTGGGAAAACAAACAAGAAAAACAGCAACTGAGATGAGTCAATGTTTTATGGAAATAAAAAGGTAACATTTAAATTATTCACTTTTTGATTAGTAAATTCTGTATTTACTGTTTAATAAATGTTAACATTTTCTTGAAGATATTACAATATTTGAATTATCATTTCGTATTTGCAAATAAAACTGGCTTGTTCCATCAGCAGGTCTCTTAAATATATATAGTATATATTGTCCAAAGGTTACATTCACTTTCACAGACAAAATCTGATCATAGAGGACAAATAAAATGAAAAGGAGGTAAATATCTAAGGAGAGTTTTCTTTTCTCTCTTCTTTTCAAAGCATTTTATTTTATTTTATTCTTAGTTTCAAGTATACAGTACATTGCTTTGCTTAGACATTTATATAGTTTATGAAATGATCCCCCCAATTACTCTATCACCCCTCTGGCTCTACACACAGCCATTGCATTACTGCAGACTGCATTCCCAATGTTAAGGAGAGCTTTTTAGAAGTGTTCTGTATCTATCAAGCAAATCTCAAAAACAAAAACATGAGTCACAGAGAGTTAAAAAAATCAGGTTAAACTCCATTTTTGCTGAAAAGGCAAGATGTTTAACAGCAGCTGTATTTTGTTTTAATCTGCTTTTTTCCATTTTCCATTACATGTAGGTTGAAAACCTATACCTGAATCAAAATGTATTAACTAGAAAAGGTTTGGTATAGACTTTAAGAAATAATTATTCATGTAACATTAGCAAACTTATAAAAGGCCACTTTTGGGGGTGTGGGAAAATTTAATCTTCTACCAACTTGTAAAAATACTTGTCCTTTAAATTATTGAAGAATTTTCCCATCTTCTGTAGAAGGTATTCACGTTTTTGAATTCGAGTAATATCAAGTACTTTTAGAATCCATTTGCCATTAATGTAATAGCTCAGGATGTAGAACAAAACCAGATGTACCTCTTTCAAAACGATCATAATTGGAATAAAGTAAAACCTGCAATTTTTGTAACTTCCTTGAAAAGTCTCGTTAGGTAGCATGCAAAATCATGTCAGTTCAATATAGTTGGTAACATGTGTAATAGGTCCATAAGATAGTTTAAAAGTAAGGGGTATATCTGTGATATGAAATCAACTTCAGAATAACTTTGCCAGTGCTCTCTGTTAGGTGAAATGAATACCACTTCTAAAAATACCCACTGCCATGTGAGTGGTGGTCAGCAGAGAAGAAACTGTGGGGAAGAAGTGATTAGCAATCACAGCATTCTGAATCGTTGCTAACATTGTAGTACACAGACTGGCAATCCCTGCAAGCCTTTTTACTTCCTGAAAATAAATTATCTGGGTAAAAATTGATGAATTGTGTCTCCAGAACACTCAAGACAAAAAGTAAGTATTAAGTGAATATTGTTATTCTGATGCTAAAGTAAAGAGTACCTGTGCCCTACGGCCATGCTACCCTGAACACGCCTGATCCCGGCTGATCTCGGAAGCTAAGCAGGGTCGGACTTGGTTAGTACTTGGATGGGAGACACCTAGGAAGACCAGGTGCTGTGGGCGTAAAAAAAAAAAAAGAAAGAAAATAAAAAAGAGTACCTACCTGTGCCTAGTTGATCCAGGTGATGACAAAGATGGAACTCCAGGTGGGCAAATTGGAAGGAAATGCAAAGAGATGGGACAAACCATGGAGTAAAACAGGAGTCGACTCTGGTACAGGCAGCCAGGGCTGTTGGAGTTACAAGCTGGTCACAAGTGCTTTGAGAACCAGATTCACTTGCAGAGCTATGGGAAATAAGTAATGAAAGAAGTTCAATAACCTACATTTCCCAATATCATATAAGTGAAATGTCTTTCTATGAGGGTTTTTTAAGCTTGCACTTATAATCCTATAGTCAACATGCTATCATCAAATCTTTTGTATTTACTCACATACACTAGCTGTTTTTTAAAATTAAGTTCATGTTGATTATTCCTTAAGTTATTAGCAGAAAAGTTTCAAAGCATTCCTCAAACCCCAGACCATGCTGACTTACCTGCCATCCTGTTTTCTTCCATCCTTATCTCTCATAATTTACAGAAAATTTGTTCTTATATTAGTTTAAAATCAACAGAATTCAGAGTATGACTCTGGTATTCAAAAAAACCAATACTTTCAGTGTCACCATAAATGTTTCACTTTTTTTTTTTTTTTACCTCTCCAGATTATTCACATCCACATTGCCATATGAATTAGTCAACACTCTTTATTGAACACCTAGTTCAATGCAATGGATACTGTGCCATAAAAGTTATGACCATGTCCAGAAGAACTGAGGTGCCATGGATAATTACACTGCATCGGTCGTCTCTTCACTTCCATCCTCTTAACACCATTTTATACAAGTAAAATCTGATGAAAAGGAATAATGAAGGCAGCTGTAGGAGGGAAGATGATTGATTGTACACGGTGGCTGCTGGTGTGCATGGGAAACATACTGCCTAGGGGCCTCGCCTCAGTGCTAGCAGAGGCACGAGAGCGGGGATGGGGGGTGGAGCAAGGTGCGTCCTGGTAATTATGAATACTAAATTGATGCCGCCCTATTCCCCCTTACCACCTTCCATCTTCTTTCCAAATCTAAAATCTGCCTGCATTTATGGTAGCCTGACTCCCAAATGCATGTGGAGCCTAGAGAAGAAATACTATGATTTACAGTATCTTACGGAGAACTACGATAGGAAAAACTAAAGAAATAAATCCTTGGTTTTCAAAGAACTCATAGTCTAACTGGTGATATGAAATACGTGGACACTTAGAAACATTATGAAACAGAACCACCTCTCAGGAACAGGAAAGTCAAAGTGCTCCCAGTGTGGAAATGTACGAGAAACGCAGAACGCTGTGGGGTAAAATGTGAAATTTTCAGTGTGAATCTTCACCTGAGTTTTGAAAGAGACTGTGAAAAGCCTGGTGAAAATAAAGCTGAGAGCATTCCAACATGCTTACTGAGTGTTTAACTTCAAGGATTTACAGTTACATGGTGGTATTTACTGCAGTGTTAGTAAATCTCTATTGCACACAAATAAAACACAAACTCTGGGGTCCTGTGTTATTGAATAAATGCTACGTGCAAAAAGCAGCCAAGTGTATTCTTAACTTTCTATTCAGGCAAGAGATCTATGAGAAACAGTGAGTACATAATGTGAGGTTTATCTGAGGCATTTTTTCTTGCCAACTACAATTTTTCACACTCGAGGGTAGCAGATACCATAACATGTTGAAAAAAGTTGCTAAAACATTATGAGTATGTGCCACACACAATCTTTATTTATAACAAACTAATTATTTACTTTTCTGAAATTAAATTCACAAATCAATGGTTAAAAGAGATATTTTAGGTACACACAGTAACTCTTAATTAACATACTCTAATGTTCAGTACTATCTCATATAATCTTGAAATCTCGACTAAAATGGTTCCTAGGTTAATCTATATTTAAAAATTTAGACTTTTATTTGAAAATTTGAGTCATATCAAAATTAAAGTTTCTTAAACACAAAATTAATATGGTATAATCTAAATATTCTTTAACTATATTCTGAATCAATAAAATTATAGTTTTTTGATACTGAATTTGATCATTATATATTATATAAACAGCATATACATGTCTACCTTTTACAAAAGTATCACAAAGATCTAAGTGTAAAAGACCTTAATTGTCATAAATATGAGAGTAATGACCCTGCTAGGCACACTTATAACAGCTGCATTTGTGTAATTTTCTTACAAAGTTCAGTACACTAACCTTGATCTGACACAGATATCAAAAAGAAAAATTTAACTTATGAGATATGTAATAATCAGAAACAGAGAAGGAAGTAGAAATGGCTCCCAGAAGATCACCCAAATAATAAAACATAGAATTCAAGATCCTAGTTAGTTCTACTTAAGTAGTTAGTTCAAATATCAATATGTTCCTAATGGAAACTCAAATTTTAGAACAGTGGAAATATTCTAAACGGTGGAAAGTATGGCAGGAGTTTTACATATTCATACCTTCATTGTAGCCAAAGGGTTACTTATCAGCTCTCCTAGGTGACCTATAGAGGGGTGTCAATTCTTTAAACGAGTGTTTTAGTAAGCCCAGATCCTGTCTGATCCAGAGGCACTGTGGGGACTCAGGCATAATCTTCTAAGATTCACCCTCGGACATCACCCAGGGTGAACCTCTTTAGCACTGCAGGTACCCATCAATGATCTGACTCCACTGATGAAGGCTCGAGCTTTTCTCTGGACCCCTCTGTGGGAATAAGAGCTTTATAATATAGCATAATAATAGCATCGAGATTAAGAAGAGAATGACCGAAGGGAGAGAACTTAGATGAAAATGCTTACACTACTATCACTTATATTTGTAACCTTGGGCAAGTTATTTCATCTGGATAAATCTCAGTTTTCTCATTTGTAAAGTGAGTATAGTAATTGGACCCACGTTTTAAGTATTAAATGAAATAACTGCATACAAAATGCTTAGCATAATGTCTAGCACTCTATAATAGAAAAAACCCACCCCTTCTTTTCTGGCAGGCAAACAGGGGACCATACTGGTTCCTCAATTTAACATTAACTGTTGGTGGTTGATCACCTTTAGCTCCTAAGAGAGATCTCACAATATCACACTGACATTCATCTCAGTGTGGCATTGTCTCTCAAACACTGGTTCACCTGAACTCTCTCCTGGCTACTGCAAAAACACTGCTCCGTCCATCCTGGGAGAGTAATGTGTGGTTGAGAGAAGACAAGGGAGGATGTACGAGCCTGTGGCACCATGTTCTCACTACCTCTTAGAACTGTCATTTAAAAAATGTTTTAGCTATAACCCAAAATAAGAAATACATTTTTATTTGTAACCTAGTACACATTAAAATGGAGGAGGGAATAGGAGGTTTACTGAAAATACAACACATTCTGATATTTTTTAAAGTGTAGTAAAATAAACATAACATAAAAATTACTATTTTAATCATTTAAACTACACAGTTCAGTGACATTAGGTACATTCACACCATTGTGCAAGTAGCAATGCAATCCATCCCTAGAATTTTTCTATCTTCCCAAAATGAAACTCCATACCCATTAAACAATAATTCCCCATTCCCCTCTTCCTCAATCCCTGGCAAACACCATTCTACTTTGTCTCTATAAATTTGACTCTTCTTGATATCTCACATAAGTGTAATTATACAATATCTGTCCTTTTCACACTTCTGTTTTCTATTTAATTAAAAAATTTTGACTGCAACCTGCTCAATTGATTTCATAACCCACTAATGGGTTGTAATCTGTGGATTAAAAAACAGGCTTAAAAGGGCCCTCACATAAAGGACTCCTTTCTATCTGACTATAAAAAAGTGT